TTTGTCCTCTTTGTCGGCCGCATTTAGTTGGGCCCTTAAGGCCATAGAGGCCTTTACTGCTGCCATGTTAGAAGTACCGGGGTTTTCAGCCGGCATCGCAAAAAGAGATTCGGCAAGTCTCTCGAGATGGGTTCTCTCTCTCTCTCTCTCTCTCTCTCTCTCTCTCTCTCTCTCTCTCTCTCTCTCTCTCTCTCTCTCTCTCTCTCTCTCTCTCCACAAGTCTCCACGGGTATCGAAATATGAACTCAGAAAAAGAAACAGACTGAAGAGCTCACATAAAGAGAAGGTAGAACTCCTAACCGGAGCGGCATTACATTTGGACTAGAGAGCAGCTAAAAAAAATTCAAATGAGAGGTCTGATCCAACGACTCAGCCTGATTAGTCTGAATACGAGCCTAGTCGGAGTGGCATTTCATTTGGACTAGAGAGAAGCCCAAAAAGACATTAAAAAAAATAAATGAGAGGTATGATCCAGCGACTCAGCCTGATCAGTCCGAATACGAGATCCCCTAGAGTCCAGTCTGACCAGTTCCGTGAATGTACAGCAAATCAGACAACGAGTGACGACATGCTATAAGGGAGAATTGAGTGGTGTATAAGGTGCGAGCCAACCCTCGGATGGTGCAATAAAACCATGTGAAACGTCTCAGTTGAGATCCCCTCGGCAGCGAGTGTCCTGATCAAAAGAATAAACTCTGAATACCAAGTAGAAAGAGAATGAACCAATGCCTAACAAATTTGGATCCAAAGGGCCCTTCTTGCTTAGGCCAGGTCCCACTGGGTCCCACGTAGGCTGTGACCAAGTTCCAATCAAGAGGAGTCCCACGTGGACCTACTTTCTCTACTGTACTAAAAAACGAATTTCAACTTTCAGAGAGAAACTGCAGACTACAACCGTTTAGAGATGAAAAGACAAAGAACTATAGAAGGACTCGGCATTCAAAGCAAGATACTTCATTTCTCCATCCATCGGGTGAGCAAGTAGTTCACACACTCAAACACAATCAAGACTGTAGAGGAGTAGGAAAGAAACCTAGAATAACCCTCACAAGACAATCAATACCATGCACACAGATACATGGGCATCCCGTAGGTACACTGCACTTACCTGAGTGGCCTGAGCTTCAAGGTGAAACCCCCCTCTCATATGGTCCTCCCGACCGCTGTAACGCTACCCCTAGACTCGTGTCCTCTCTCCTAGGGGGGTCTGACTCCAACTCCCAAGTGCAACGCCGTATCCCCCGCCGATTCTGAAGAACAAAGTAGCAACTTGCAGTCCGTAGATGCAGAGAGGCTGTTGTCCCTCAAGCTCGCCTACTTGAGGGAAGCCCTAAAGTCGCCGAGTGTCTCCCTTGAATCAGATTCCAGGTGCGAGTGCCTGTCACTGTCGCCTCTCTCAAATTGTTGCATGAAATCTCCACGAAATGTCTCGCCACCCCAAATTTACTCTGAAGCAACCTGGTTAGGTCTAGTGTTGACCCAACACGACCTGACCAGGTGGGGGCAGCTTCCCTTAGCCATGCTGCCCCACTTCCCTCACGACCAACCCTAACCCTAAGTGGTGCCCTCAACCACTTAGGTTGGGGTTAGGGAAGCCAAGTCAACTCTCTCCAGCAAGTAGAATCCGCTCTGATACCAATGTTATGATCCTGGCCAATTTCGAAGTACAAACTCATGAGAAAGCACAATGTCGTCCGATTGCGAAAGGAAATGAATGAACTTGAGAGGAGAGAGAGGGAAAGAAGAAGAAGAAGAAGAAAGAAAGAAGACGAAGAAAATGTACACCAGCAAAGACGAATGATCTTTCCCTTCTTCTCGCCAACCACTCTCCTCCTTCGTTTCTCCTCCCCTCTTTTTATTCACAATCAATAATAATAATAATAATAATGTTGAATGGCTGAACCAGAATCAATGTTTGAATCCCTCTTCCACTGCAGGCACAACATGAGGTCCACCATAGCCATGGCCACCCTTCTCCTTCCTCTTCATGAAGGCCGAGGCTATGGCGGACTGCTAGGGCCTCGCCCTGATGTGCAAAGGACAACTCAAAGCAGTCATGGCTTCTCTAGCTCAGGTCGCCATGCCTAACTCTGCCTCAAAGCTTCTTGGTGTAGCTCTATCCCAACTGGGGCCTTCCGGATGCAGCGCCCACCAAGGTGATGAAGATGGTGTCCACTATCCCCCTTCCTAGTCCTCTTCTTCCTCCTCCTCCAGCCCGTGTTCCTCCACCATAGCTGAGGTGGGGAGCTGGGCGCTCCTTCCTCCCCAGCAACGCTGCTCCAGCCAGCGCTCCAAGCAGTGTGTCGCCAAACTTGCACACCGAAGAATGAGGAGGAGCACTTCGCTCCTCCTGGAGATATAGCGGCCTGCTTGCCTCTTGGGCGGTGACTTCCAGGCCCCGTGACCATGTCATCCGGGAGACACCCGGAGACCAATGGCCAAACAGAGCAGATGAACAAACTGTTCCAAAAGTGTTGCACATGTACATTAGGCCCGACCAGATCGATTGGGAGGAGCATCTTCCCAAAGTGCAGTCTGCGTATAACAACTTGGTGCACTTGCATACTGCATCCACCCTGAATGAACTACACAAGGGTTGGCAGCCCCGGCGCGCGATTGACTGCTTGAGCCCGGACCAGATTCAAAGATTGTTGGTTGGAACGAGGGAATTTGCCATTCAATACAAGAAAGAGAGCAGGTGAAAAAGAACATCCTTAAGGCCTCGTATCAGATGGTGGAACAGGCAAACAAGCACCGACGGCCTTCACAATTCGCTGTAGGTGACTTAGTCTGGGTAAAGTCTAAGGAGTTCGTTCCGGAAGAAGGGATCTTGCAGAAAATGTCACCTGCGTATAGGGGACCATGGCAATCGCTAGACGTCAAGGGAGAGGCAGATGGTCCGTCCTACACTACCGAGATTCCACCCCACCTGCACGCATACCCGGTATTCCACGCGTCTAAGTTGCTTCCCCTTGTCACGAACGATCAGTTTCCCTCTCGTCGTTCCATGATCCCGCTGGACATGGATGGAGGTTATGATGCAGATAGAATAGTGGCCAAAGATGTCTTCCGTACAGGCCGCAAAGGGAGACCACAAAGGCAGTACAAGGTTAGATTTGCCTATCAGGAACCCAGTGAAGATTGCTGGTTCCCCAGGGAGGAACTAATACAGACAGCCCCTCACATTGTCTCCTTTTATGAGAGAGCCCAGAGGGGAATGAACGTCTATGACCGATAAAGATGGGATTTTTCTCGGAGGACCTCAAAATTAGGCCGGTGGGAGTGAAAGGAATCACATTGCAGAGACCCCAGTCCCGGTCCGAAAGTCCCGAAGTGTCCCAGTCCCAGGCTGTCTCGAAAGAATAGGTCGTTGGGTCCGCAGGCTGTAGCGTCGTAGGTCAGTAGGTGTCGGGACCAAAAAGTCGTACGTCAGTCCCAAGTCCAACTTTGCAGCATGTCCCAGGAAAGTCCGGAAGGTACCGGACCAACAAAATATTTGCAGCAGACAGGCCGCGGCCTACCGGTACCGGTCTGATGCAGGCCAAGCCAAGTCAAGTCCTATATTTAGCTGCTACAGTGCAGTGGCTCATCACTTGTTCATTTGCAAGGTGCGGAACCGCTGCTGCTGCTTGTGCGTTAATGCAACTTGGGCACTCCGCGCCAGGAGGAGGAAGAAGGCGCCTGGTCTCTCCATAGCTAGGGTAGTAGTAGTAGGGGACCAGCGGCCATAGCCGCCAAGGTGGAAGCTTACCTGAGTGGGTGTATCCAGGGTGACAACTAGGACCAGAGAGAGAGATGTAGAATGAAGCCATAGCCGCCGTCCAGTTGAGATCTGGTGTGTGTGTGTGTGTGTGTGTGTGTGTGTGGCATAGTCGCTGGAGATAAATACTAGTATATTCATAATATTTTTGGAGACGACATCTTCATGTGTTGGTTGTATCTCGATTTGGCTTCACACTCATGAACTCTCATGTGAATGTTCATTGATGTAGGCCAGGTGGAACTTGACGAGTACTTGGTTCATTTCACAAGGTAATTCAAGAATTTAATTCATTTTATCCATCTGGATTCGAACTCAGGTCTATTTCACAGTTCATGAGTGTACCAACCGAGCTACAGGATTTATGTATGGAACTCATGTGAAACCGGGAGTATAACTCTAGACTATAGCTCATCTAGTATATGTAACACATCCAGTATATATGTATCTATAAGCCAAGTGTGAAAACAGGAGTAGCATGCAATGAGAAAAAGATAACAGCACGAAAAACAAGAAAGAAAGAAGACAACAGCATGCCTGTCATTGTAGGAGGGGAAATTCTGAAGAGGGCAAGTGCAAACATGGAGGAGGAGGGAACAGCACCAGACCTCTTGTGGTTTTAGTATGCTTTTCACAATGTCATCTTATGACCTCCTTTGATGTCATCCAACTAACAAACAGGTCATAAACAGGATATGGTGACCACAAATTTGAGTAGGCGTGAACTGTGCTTCCAATCAATTGTCTCAATGAGGTGGTCCCATTTCATAACTAACATTTTGTATGCGACTCCCTGCACATAATGGTCGATGGTCGTTTCTCGTTTTGTCAAAGATGCTAAAGTGAATTCCTTTTCTGAGCGTACCTGAACATGTTAGAACTTTCCTGGAATGTGAAGCATAAACATGTGTTAGGAATCGGAGGCATAGCGTGACGGATACATTGGCACATGTTTATGCTGTTTTCATGTCTGTGACACCTCACCTGATCTGTTGTCGGTCCTGGTGCTGCCATCTCGTCTCATCTCATCTCCTCTCCTCCCCTCCCCTCCCTTCACCTCCCCTCCCCTCTCCTCTCCTCTCTACTCCTCTCGACTCCTCGTGACTCTTCTCGTTTGCCGTCCTCTCATCTCGTCTCCTTGTCCCCTCTCCTCTCGTCTCCTCTCCTCTCGTCTCCTCTCCTCCCCTCTGCTTCCATCCCATCCCTGCTCTGTTGTTTCACAATGCTGTTTCCTCAACAGATATTTGGAGAAGAGTGAGGTCCATGTGATTTGGTATAAGGATCTCCGGCATGGTGGATTCCTACTAAGGTAATTGTCCCTCATCCCCGACACCCTGATATGAGTTCATCATATCTAGACTATTGCAGATTGACTTGCGCTCATATCTGTCAATAATCCATCATTTTGAGATTTGGATACCATCGTCGCAGCGCACTGCTCTGGTGCACGAGGCGACGTGCAGGATGCACACAGGGAGACCGCACGCACATGTGCGCGCACGCGCAC